AGAAGTCTGAGAAGTGGATCGATGAGATAACTTCAACAAATACAGATCTAAAGAAGAAAGTGGAACACCTCATCATTGCGAATCAGAAGACTGAGAAGTGGATCGATGAGGTAACTTCATCAAATACAAATCTAAAAAAGAAAGTGGAACACCTCATCAATGCGAATCAGGATTTGTTGAAAGGACTTGAGGGTAGGTAAACAAAATCTCCTTGTATCATTGACAAAAACAGTCTCCTTTTGGATCATGTTAACATATCGATTCAATCACCATATAATGTTACTTCATTGATATTGACCTTGAATGTGGTCACTGCTATAGAAAGAATAAGTCCCACTCTATATTTTAAAAGTAAAATGCAATAACAACTTGTGATAGAAATGATACAAAGACTTCGTTTAATTTAGGTATCAAATCATAGAAAACGAGGGTCCAACTTAGGTATCATAGCTGAATGAACTCTACAACGATCGATAACACAAATTCATGTTGATTATTAAAATGTTTGAGGAAAGTTAAGAACTCCTCAGGAATAAATTCTAAGACTTCTTAAAAAACAGTTGAGAGTAGTGAAATTATATTGATTTTATCAACTTTGATTAGAGTCAGCATTTCTTAAATTTTATGGTCGTTAAAATGGACTTTTTAAAAAAAACAACCTGTCGTTGGGTTGTATTTTGTTTGACATATTTCATACAAACTGTTTGGTTATTGTTACGAGTTATACCGTCTACCTTGTAATTACATTGGGTTCACACAACGTGTGTGATCAATAGTCGGGGGATGCTTATTCCTTCTAGGCAACTGATCCCACCCCTGTCGTTTCCAGGGTCTAAAGTTTTATCCAGTTCACCATTTATATTTTTACTTATTCATTAAATCGATCACTATTTGTTATTTCAACTTTCCGTTTTTAAAAATGATTTTGGAACTGAAAAAGCTTCATACGAGTTTCGATTTCTTAGGCGTTGATGACTACTTGTGCCTTGCTTCATCATTTGGACAATTGGGATTAAAAAGGTACATGTATGGGTTTACCGAAATCAATACTATGCATAGATTTGAGATTAAAGAGATTTAAGAAAAAGATAGTGACCAAAAAACGTGAAGTGTCTGTATATAGAAAATATTGTTATGTGCGCAGGGCACGATAATTTCAATGCTGAACTTGCTTTCAAAATGAAATTTGTCTCGAAATTAATCTTATTTTGTAGCAAACAAAAACTACAGGATTCAATTAATATTGTTATATAATTTTTAAACCCAAAATTGAAAAAAATGAGCTACACTGTATTAAGATGTAAAGTAAAAACATCTGTTTCTTATATAGATATTTTAGGAATGACTCTAATTCTTGGCCAAATTATTCGATGATAACCTGGTTTGGGTCAGTTTACGCTTTATAATCCGCGAAGCGGATTATAAAAAAGCGTAAACTGACCCAAACCAGGTTATCATCGAATAATTTGGCCAAGAACTAGAGTCATTCCTTGTAATTTAATTTTCAAATAATTGAACAACTCTGGGTGTAAAATTGTGGTGCTTCTTATGAGTTCAAATTTGCCGCTCAATAATACATCCCTAGTAACGGAAGTGATTTGAAACAAGGGAATGTAATAACTGATACACAGATCTAGCAGCCACGATGTTTGTTTACATGAGGTAAAAGCGAGCTACTGTTTGAAGTTAAAGGCACATTTATTAAATCTGGATTTTTTTTATGAATCCCATGGACTGGAAATGAGAGGATTGCATGGATACAGATGATTCAGCTGGTTGTCAAGGGGGTGTGTCCCCATACCAAACCAGGTTATTAAGAAATGGTTTGCGTTCCTTTTTGGAAATCAACCAGTGAGAGACTAGAATATAAACAAAATTAAATTATTTCACTTTAAAAAGACGTTAATGGTAATCCAGCAGCCAAGCTTTACGACAAGCGAGATTACTTAAAATTTTCAATCGCCAACTTTCGCTACTTATGCACCTTCATCACCTGCTTACGGGGTCTATATTTCACAGTTTATTCGATGAGTAAGAGCATGCTCTAGGTATAAACAATTTTATAAAGAGGTAAATTATTAACAAACAAGCTGCGGAAACAAAAATATCAGTTGAGTTTAAAGTCATCATTTCAAAAGTTCTATGGTCGATATAATGACTTTGTCAGCAAATACAGTTTATCTTTAAGTCAGATGCTGACTGACTTTTTTCATACTATTTGTTAGGTCATTATTTATACACTGAATTTTCGGCGGATTTTTTTTCTGTTATTTCCCGAGCATGACAAGAAGCAAACGGCGGGTGTTACCAGTTGGCAAGGAATGTTCACTCCTCCATGACACCTGATCCCACTTCTGATGCTTTGGAGGTCTGTGTTTGCTCCTTTCCTATTTGGTATTGTTAAATGGAATTTTAAGCTTGAATAATGTTTGTTATCTCTTTCATAACACAGAAAATCTACTTAAACAAATGCAATTTAATAAACAATAGATATTTTCAACATATCTAGTTTTGAAAGCAAATGTAACAGAAAAAAGAATTGTTATCACATGTTCAACAAAATTTAAGGGAGTAATATGTCACACTGCACTGCAAATGAAAATTAACAATGCTTGGTCTGTGTCATCCCGGGAAAATGTTCAACCTTTTTTTGCGGATATGCAATGTGGTGTATATGGCGATTTATAAATATTCACCAAAATGAAAATTACTGTAACGGAGTATTTCATTTCTTTGGAATACTATTAATATATTGTATATGATCAAGAAAGCTACGTAAGTGTATATATTGTAATTTCACTAAAACTCAACAAATATTTTCTGTACAATGCACGTATTCCAGTAAAATGGAATATATTTCACTCCAATGACAATATTAATTGTATACCTTGTACCTTAGCTGAATAATGTGGCCCTCCCCGATTTAGTAAATCTAGACTGATATTTCCTTAAGAAAGCCATGATTCCACAGCATCTCCGTAATGGTATAAGTATTTTTTAGATACTGGAGACAAAATAAAAAGCTTTTACGTTCAATTTACGTCTTTGTTAATTGTCAATAACATAGTCGAAAACGACGTAAAACGAATTTGCCTCTTTACAAGTCGTTATCCTCAGCAGCAACGACATTTCCTGCGAAACTTTCGCTTGAAATAAAGCACTCGGTGATGTTGATAGACGATTAAGTTGCATAGTTCACAAAACATCTTTTAAAAAATCACGTAATTTTTTTGTAAACAACGTTATTTATGTTGAAAAATTGAAATCCTAGAGATATCTGCATTCTCATAGACTGCCCCCCCCCCCCCCGAAATGTACAAGGTCAGTGAACATGGCGGGTAAATTCAAATTGAGAAGTTGACGAACACGAAAAACAACCGATATATGGATTGCTCTTTCTCTATATTTTTGATAATTATATTTCTGGATCAATTCTTGTTTTGATAAGCCTACATTATGCTACTATCAAAAGTAAATGCAAGGACGTGCATGCACATGCGCCCACACACAATGTATTAAACGACAGTATACTTGAGTTTTTGATGTTCATGCAGAATTAAGAACTTCTAAATGTCAAGACATGTAACATACTGAAGCATGCAGATCTTTTGACCCTTGACCTTGAAACTTAGGTCAAGGTCCCTGGTAACCTGAATAAATGTTGATATTAGCAATTTACCAAAATCGCCTTGACCTATGAACTTGAAATCGACCTAAACCTTTGTCCTTGACCCAAGGGTAAAAAGAAACCTGAAGTACATGTACATGGGTTTATATAAAATAGCCATTTACTGATGATTTTAGTCGAAATCGGTGAATCACTATCGCGCTTGTACCAGAATTTAGATCCTATGGAGAAAACTACATTAGTTCTATTGTAAAACAAATTCTATCACATCTTTGAACTGCAATTTAAAAAAAATGAAATTCAAATTGGACATGCAAAAATCTTCTTATTTCTGTATGTTGTTTACCGCAATTTAAGGACGTACAACATACTAGGAGAGATAACTCTTGCGATTTCAATTGAACGTTTAACGTGACGTCAAATTCAACGTTAAAATAAAGCGTCAAAATGACAAGCAATAGGATCCCAGTGCATTAATCATAAAAGAAAAATGGGATAAGGGGTTTCATTGTGATTATGAGTTCCATACTCTATTCACATTTTTTTTTGGATTAATCCTATTAAACTCCATAAAAAGTAAAAAAAGGGGAGATTTTCCCTATTTTATTTCATATAAAAAACAATAACCAAACAAACAAAAAATAATAAAAAAAAATTCACCTTAATTATTGATGCCGTTCTCAGAAGATGCCTTTATTTGTGAGTTAATTGGTAAAAAGAATTAGTAAATGATATTTGACAGCTAGGCTATCTTGACTTTTGATAATTAGGAATTAATTATTCAAAATTTTCTCTCCTCGTAAAAAAACAGGGGGGGGGGGTAACTTTTGGATTTCCTGTCCAAAAACGCATCAACCGATTTTGTCCAAAATGTGCATACACACAGTAGATATAGGCATGTGTTAAATATACAAAAATAGCGAAAATGAAACGACAGGAATTTTTTGGGGGTGGGGGTGTTGTACATCCTTAAATCTGTGTCATGATTGTCAACTTTTACTTCAGTTACATTTCAAAGATTAAAAATAAATAGAAAATACGTTAGAGGACATGATGGTGGAAGTAAAGCAATCTAAGAATGACCATCTGCAGCTGTCTTCTATCGTGTCCTCTCTTGAGATGTTCCGAATGAATGTGGCAAATTATTAGGTAATAACTCAGAATAAATGAGTTAGAAGTGAAAACACCATACGAGGTCGCGCTTTGCGATTTTTTTAATATTAAATCTTCTTATTTCATTCCGCAAAAACAAGTAGCTGGTATTTGAGTATTATGTATCAACTTTTGCTAGGTTTTTTTACTAGTAGATGCATACATCAGAATTCCTTAATTTGATCTCCTTTAATCTTCAATAAAGAAATTATATTTGCAGACAAATCAAAGAAGGTAGGTTTCTCCGCCTCAGTGTCATCCAGCGAAAGTTCATGGAACAGCGGGGCCCTGGTTTTTCCTTCCGTCATAACAAATGAAGGAAATGGTTACAACCCAAGTACCGGAATATTTACTGCTCCTATCGCCGGGATGTACGTCTTCTTCGTGAATGTTCAGAGTTATCGTTCACAAACAATTTTTGTAGACATTGTGTTGAATGGATCAACAAAAGTCAGAACTATGGCCTGGAGTAACGGTAATGATTATTTCGATGCCGGTCCGAATATGGTAGTGCTGACTATTCAGAAGGGAGACGCGGTGTGGATCACACGTCACTCTGGTGCAGGTTATTACAACGATGGTCCTATCACGACTTTCTCCGGTTTTCTCATACACATGTAATTAAATCTGAAAAAGTTTAATGTGTATATGCTTTGAACATTGGTTATACACGCTCCTTTACAAATGAGTAACATATGTCGCAGTTTGATTGAAAATGAATCATTTTAACTGAGAATATTAAAAAAAACATATTTATGACACGCCAAATTCACAAAAATGAGCTAAACAAAGTTTCACAGTAGATAAACTAGGTTTATAGTATGCAAACTATAGTTTACGGACTGTAAACTATCGTTAACAACGTAAATCTATAGTTTACAGATGTGAATCTATGTTTATCAACAAAATCTATTATGAACGTTTTATTACAGACAGATAGACTTAGATTAGCATTCGTAAATTAATGTAGTTAACAGCTTTTAAATATTTACAGATGAATACTATAGTTAACGAATTGTTACCTATAGTTTACGGCTTGTAAACTGTAGTGTACAGTCGATAAACCTGGTAAATATCAGCTGTGAAACTATGTTTAGCTCATTTTTGTGAATTTGGTGTGCCATACATATTGATAACCTACATGATTCGTTTGACAATATTAAATTTACATTTAATTATTAAATTTGGAAAGTAAATTTGGAGAAAAATTGTTTGAGAATAACTGGCAGATCATATGCGATATGTTTTCATTCATTTGTACATGTTACATACATATAAAGTATCCAAGAAACGACTGTTTATAATTAAACCCCTCCATCCTAATGTGAAGGGAAAAACGCTATATATGCCCCTATTTATTATTTTTTGTTTTGTTTTTTCTCTCCTTTTCTGTTTCTTTCTCTCCTCTTTTCCCTTTTCTTCTATATGAAAACAACTTTTACGTGCATTTAAATGTGTATATGTTTATGTGTGTGTCTTTAGGTTTGATATCTATATACGGTATTTATAAACGGTACTTGAGTGAAGATATATGTATGAATATACTTTGTATACTTATTTGATATAAATATGAGAGTTGAAATAAAAAAAACTGGAAAGTAAAATATATACAAGATAAATGTATGGTGAAAGTAAAGAAAAGGGTTTTTATTTTAGATTTATTTTTAAGATATCTGTAGAAGGTATTGGGAAAAGCTGATAAGTTCAGAGATCATGTTTAAAAGACATGTTTTACAAAAATGTAAACAGAGAATTTAATCTTCTATTTGAGACAAAGAAGTATTTTTATCACTTTTTTACACTAGCATTAACATTTTAAACAATTTTATTGCAACCAATTTGTTACATTAGAATACATTGTTTAAATACATATTTTTTTAGATTTACTCTTCTCTATGTATCTGTTGGACGGCATTGTAGGCTATGTATCATCGTCAGAAAATGCTTATTCTTTTGCTCATAATTTCTAGTAAAAGGAATAATTATTAATTTTATCAATTTCTATCGTCTAAAGCTGAAGTGATATGCATTGTAAATCCAAACTGAAAAACTATTTGAGACTTAGCTTTAGCATGTATATATTTAGTAACATATGTAGTAAAATAGCTCTTGAGAGCTAAAATCATTTTTATACTTGCTTGCAATAAAGATTTGCTTTTTTAAAGAAAATTATTCTATTCATTAATTGACTTAGAATCCAGAGAATTAACAGCTTGGCACAGCGCCAAAAAGAATATAATTGAAAAAGAATAGAGATTTTGAAGTTCCAGATCGCGAAGATAGACCTCGTCTTGAAATATTAATATTGCTTTCTGTTCTCTAAGTTATTTTAAGCTATTACCTTAAGTGTTATTCGTCATATTCATTCGGAACACCTCGAGAGAGGACACAGTTGAAGACAGCTGTAGTTGGTCATACTTAGAGTGTTTAAGTTCCATCATTATATCCTCTAATGTTTTACGGATGTTCACTGAAATCAAAATATGAAAGGTAAAAAAAAAATTAAAAAATGTTTGCATCATCTTTTCTTAATAGTACATTGGAAAAGTCTTATCGTTGGTAATGCACATGTGAAATATGATAACAATAATTATTATTATTCTCCTCTTCAATTGTTATCACAAATGTTTTTTTTTTATTTGGAATAAACTTGAAGGTGAAGATCTGGGGTCAAATATCATAGTTCTTCTCATACTTTTCTGATTCTAAATTATCCACAGTGTTGAAGTTTCAAAGTCAAGGCCACATGTATATTGTCAAAATCATAGAATTTTGTAAAGACTTTGCCACAATTAGTGTACCGTGAACTATGAAATGTTAATACTTCTTGAATATATGATCAAAAGATTCACAACCATTTTGTTCTAGTGTAAAAAGAGCTCCTGCTGAATATTCCAAAGGAAGAAACGCTTTTATGCAAAAAAATTAACATCATTGTCCTTTAATGCGATACGTTGCTTGAATTTATAATGAATACATCATATTAAAGGTACAAATTCTTAAATTCAAAATCTTGAAGTTTTGAAGTTGACGTTTTAAATGGGAGTTCATTAATAAATAATATGATGTTACATTTGTATGATTTCACAATAGGTTTAGTTTTTAGTTGAAATTTTCAAATTGTCGTCTTAAAGATGAGTATTTTTCGAAGTATTTTGCACATTTTCAATACTCATCGTAATTTTGTCGAAATGTAGGCCCCAAAAATGACAATGCTGCTTAAAAGAATCACGCCAAAAGACAGGAATAAAAAGTATTATTCGTTATCTCCATATCCTATTGTTAATCTTACAAAATAGTAAATTGCTACCATTGAAAAATAATTCCTTTACATTAACGGTCTGAGACTTTAAAATTTTGCCGTCGGATTTATCTTTCATGATGTTAGATTCAGAAAAATACTCTAAACAAAATGCCAGTTTTTTTAACATGCTTTTTAACATGGAAATCAGTCGATCAAATGAGAAATATTATTATCTTATCAAGTTATGTTATTGTACAGAAATAAAAAAGTTACAAAAGTTACATGACTTGCACTGTTTTGGGTCAATGCAAGGCAAAGAACTGCTTTAAAAAATTAAAAAATGGGTATATAGACGGCTAAATTGGACGGGAAACCACGAAACACTATTTAAGGAATTATCATAATCCATCAGCCAAGAGTATATCAAATTACTACCAAAAATTAATTATGGATTATGTTTTATACTAGTTGATTAAATAAACTTAAAAGTAAGTTAGAAATCACTTTTAGAATATGATTTGTAGCCTCGTTACACAATTTCGCATAATAACAATGTGACCTTTATTTGTCTAACAAACCATGTGAGCTTAGAAAGTGCGTTGTCAGAGCTGTATTGTATGGCCTATAGCTATAGTGCCAGCGCTAATTCCCTATACGGTGGTCCTAAGTATTTTTAAAAAGGGGAGGCGCAGTACTAGTGTAGATCAGACATTACTCTGGTCAGGGTTATCACACCAATGGTTCCATTATTACTTTCTCCAGTTTTCCCATAAAACATTATGCATATTAACCAGGCTGAAGCTAGCAGCCAATAACAGCAGCCACTAAGCGCGTAGAAGCTAGCAGCCAATAAGGAAATTCATCAAAGAACTGAGAGTACTCAGACGCAGTACTGTTTTTAATACGTTATTTTAGATAATTAATGGTTAATGATTAGAAAATTAATGCAACAATTAATTACATAATAAATCAGATACTCAGAGGCAGTAAGGCTCACCTGAACAATTTTTTTTTCTTTTTTAAAATCGAAAAATAATAAATAAAATACTTTATAATTTTTATCCAAGTGAACAAACAAGCACTAGGAAATGGATAACTCCTTCAGGAAGAATCCCTTTTCAGCTCCTTCAGGGACCTCAAGATAATAACAGGGCCAATAAGCTAATCTGTAATTTGATTGATATATAACGATTGTAAACAGAAATATGGCACAAGTATAAACTAGGTTGAAGTATATTTCGAACATTATTACTGGGACAACTTAATGAATCTATAAGACTGTAAATTACTACTATCAGTAATAAATGGTGGTGGTGCCACCAAGTGGTTCCAAAAGCATTTTTTATATTACAGGCAGGTATTATACCCATGATTTATAAAGTGATCAAAATTACTAGCCAAAGGAGATTATTTCCTGCTATCAGAAGGGGATTTAATGGTACCACCAGGTGGTGCCAGGTGCATGGGTCATATTTCAAGCAATCATTTGTCATCAATTATTGGTGATTAAGTTTAGAGTCTTAGGGAAAATCCCTTGTCAACGTTTCAAAAGGTCCCAGGGAAAGGAAAGGGCCAGTTATCTACTCTGAACTTTGGCTGTTTTGCATTTTATCCCAAAAACGCCATTAAAGATCAGCTATTACACGCTTTATCCTTGAAGTGTTCATCAAATGACTACTAGGGCAAGGAAGAGGGGCCCTAGGGCTATCATTTGCCACTTTCAGAATGGGGCTGTAGTGGCACCACCAAGTGGTGCCAAGTGCGTGGGGCATATTTCCAGCATTCATATTTTATTCATTGTCGGCCTCCTGAACAAACTAACACTGGGGGTGGGTAGGGGGCATTAGGGGGTACCCCCTGACAGATTTCTGCAGGGTCCTGAGGGCTGGAAGGGTCCAGTTAGCTAACCTGAACTTTGATGTTTTTCATCATTGTACATTGGGAAACGGGAAAAAGGGCAGTTTTTATACGCCTTATCCTTGAAGTGTTCATTAAATGATTACTGGGGCAAGGTAGAGGGGCCCTAGGGCTATCATTTGCCACTTTCAGAATGGGGCTGTAGTGGCACCATCCAGTGGTGCCAAGTGCATGGGGCATATTTCCAGCATTCATATTTTATTCATTGTCGGCCACCTGAACAAACTAACACTTGGGGTGGGTAGGGGGCTTTAGGGGGTATCCCTTGACAGATTTCTGCAGGGTCCTAGGGGCTGGAAGGGTCCAGTTAGCTAACCTGAACTTTGATGTTTTTCATCATTGTACATTGGGAAACGGGAAAAAGGGCAGTTTTTATACGCCTTATCCTTGAAGTGTTCATTAAATGATTACTGGGGCAAGGTAGAGGGGCCCTAGGGCTATCATTTCCCACTTTCAGAATGGGGCTGTAGTGGCACCACCA